GTTTAAACCAAGAAAACATATTTACAATATCAATTTAAGGGGGGGAAAAAAACGAACAAACATAGAAAAAGAAGGGTTCTCTATCGACATCCCGAGACTGTGATCCAAGTAGAATTCCCGTGGGACATCCTGTTCACATAACCCTTTTCCCCTCGAACAGAAAATTATTTATCATCGCTGCATCTGGACTGCAAAGTGTCTCAAATACATCTATAAAGACTGGGCGTTTACTTACAGAATGTACGGTCATTATCGCTGCATCTGGAGTGAAAATTGTCTCAAATACATCCCTAATGACTGGGCGTTTACTTACAGTATGTACGGTCATTATCGTTGCATCTGAAATGAAAATTGTCTCAAATACATTCCTAATGACTGGGCGTTTACTTACAGTATGTGCGGTCATTATCGCTGCATCTGGACTGCGGGGTTCACTTGCAATTTGCATATCATTTCTGTTCTGTAAATGGGAGGCTGGAGCCGTGTAAAATCACCCCCGGTAGTAGACACCCCCGTGAATGTCTTTGGGGGGTGAAAAAAAAAAAACAAAAAAAAAAAAACAGTGAGGCTTAATAGACCACCCACCTACGACGGAATTGCGGCCAGATACATACAGGTCCGGCCGCAAACGCAGTCAGTACATTACCGATAGTGCTAGTGCGAGTACGCCCTCAGTTTTCATGATAATGGATTCCTTGCTTTTTCCCAAAAAAAAAAAAAAAAAAAAAAGAGTACGCCCTCAGTTCAGCTGCCACTATTGTAGATGTCGATAAAGCGTGATGCTTCTTTTTTTTTGTATGATAATTTATTTTTCCCTCAAAAAAATTAAACAGGTAGGCCCCTCACAATATTGTATCCACCTGATTCCACCACAAAATTCAAGCTCGTGACTTGTAAATTTATTTTTCCCTTCTTAAAAAAAAGAAAGAGGTAGGCCCCTGATAATTTATTTACAGTTATATGCGTCTACCACCACCGTTCAGCAGCATGGACTGTCTTGTAGGTAGAGTTTGGAAAGAGCGAAGGCTAATCACAGCGTCGACTGAGATCAGCGGCACGCGACACAAGCAAGTTGCTGAAAAATACAACCCGCCAGAATATGTGAAAACTCGGAAATTACTCAGAAGTTACTCTTCTGCAACACCAAGAGTATCTCTTCGAAAGATCTGCAACAAAGCTCAAGAGGAAGCCATAGCCAGGCTAACCCTGGTGATGGCTGTCTGGCTTCCCTCGACCGGTTTCGGCTAGAGCCAGTTCTAGCCTCATCAGGAGGGGTAAGTATCCGAGGTAGGAGAAAGGAAAAGCCCTCTCTCTTAAATAGTAGCAAATGTAACTTCTATCTAGGCATCACGTAGCTAGTAAACCACTGAGGTAAGTTCTCCTTCTTGGCGCGAAAAAATACGGAAAGCTGAGGTCAGTCTACAGGCAGTACTCCCAAAAAAAACGAGTTACGCTGTCGTGTCTTTCGTATCCTGTACTCAAGGCGCGGTAACTTTGWAAACTGGTCCAGGGCAGGAGTATCACTGTTCTTGGCGTCGGAATTATCCGCGGGATTACGTGAAAATCCTAAGCTGCGGAGATAAAACAGAAATAAAAATAAAATAAAAATAAAACAGAAATCCCACGTTCAGATCGTAGTCCGCATGTTCAGGAAAAAGAAATCGGGCTAGGCTCTGTATTTCCGCCATCTATAGGTCAGTTTCCAGGAAGGACTCAGCAAAAAACGAGTAAGGCCTGTAGTTATTCGTAGTCGGTAGATCAAAACCCTATATCTAAAGATCTAACAAAGGACAAACGCAGTATCTCAGCTTCCGCCTTGGTGTTGTTTGTAGCCTGTAAATCAAAAACTTTTTAACTAAAGATCTAGCAAAACGACAAACAAGAAAAAAAGCGGTAACTCTATTCCAGTAAGAATGGCCGAAGTTTAAAAACCGCTTTACACTCAAGAGTCTTCCCCTGAAGAAAAACCGGGAAAGTCTCCTCTTTGAGTCGAGTAGATCCAAAAGCAATCGTGGCTGGAAATCTGGTTGGGGCTCAGCAGATCAGAACAGCCCGCAGATGAGGGTACTAGAAATTACCAGCCACAGATCAGAACAGCCCGCAGGTAGAGTGTCTGATCGCAGGTAGCCGTTACTCACATTAAGGCAATCTCCTAAATGCATCTGACAGCAATTAAGCTCAGAACGCATCTGAGTGCATCTGACTGCAATCACGTCTAGAGCTCAGTGGAGAAGAAAAGTCGTAGTGTGAGCATGCCCAAAAGAACTGCGGCCTTTCCCAAAACACGTCATGTTATACACTAATCAACATGCTATGAATTTTTTTTTTGATTCCCCTCCCGTGCAACGACACTGGTCACTACGCACTGACACAATCCTACCGTAGTCATCCAGCTGTATCCACCGACCCCAAAAAATCTCAATCTGATCAATGTTCTTCTATCTTAGCCGCTGTTAGACAATATCAGCACTCTTCGTCGTCTTCTTCTTCCTCACTGGGTCGCCGTTGGATGACACATAGATTCGACCGCACGTTAGCAGAAGAGGAACCATCCAATACTCTCTCTCTCTCTCTCTCTCTCTCTCTCTCTCTCTCTCTCTCTCTCTCTCTCTCTCTCTCTCTCTCTCTCTCTCTCTCTCTCTCGGCCACCGTTCGACAACATCAGCACTCTTCGTCTTCTTCTCTCTGGGCCGCCGTTGGATGACACATAGATCGACCGTACGTTAGCAGAAGAGGTA